CTGGTTTTGGCTGGAATAGAATTAATTTTCTTCCTAGTAGCTGGTATAGTGCTGTGCTTTGGATTTAGGATGAGAATAATGTTGATAAAACACTGATGTTTTAGTTACTGCTGAGCAGTGCTTACACTAAGTCAAGGACTTTTCAGCCTCTCATACTGCCCTGCCAGCGAGGAGGCTGGAGGTGCACAAGAAGCTGGGGAGGGGACACAGCCAGGACAGCTGACCCCAACTGGCCAAAGGGATATTCCATACTACATGACATCATGCTGAACAAAAAAAACCTGGGAGGAGTTGGCCGGGTGGGCGTGGCCGCTGCTCGGGAACTGGCTGGGCATCGGTCAGCGGGTGGTGAGCAATTGCATTGTGCACCACTTGTTTTGTATATTCTTTTATCATCATTATTATTATTTTCCCTTCCTTTTCTGTCCTATTAAATTGCCTTTATCTCAACCCAAGAGTTTTACCTTTTTTCCGATTCTCTCTCCCATCCCACTGTGGGGGAGTGAGCGAGCAAACGGCTGTGTGGTGTTTAGCTGCCTGCCGGGTTAAACCACAACAGCCATTAAAGGTTTAAGAAGATCTGGGTGCAAATGGAAGAATTTGTTTCCCTCTTGTAGTATTCTCACCTGAACTTGCTCCCTTTAGTGTTTATAAGTAATGGAAAGAGTACTGCTTTTTTCAGGTTCTATACTTCCTCCTGACCTGGGTCAACTCAGGAGAGACTTGCTCATCGTGGGCTGGCTCTGGGCCACCTCAGCCTTCTCTGCCTTTTATTTCAGGGGAGATTAAGCTTCCTAAAGGCTACTGTGATGCTGACCTAACCCTGGACAGCAAGCTTGAGGTCCTTCTGCCACGTCGACAGGGGCTGGGCCTCTGCTCCACAGCCTTAGCCAGCTACCTCATTAGTCTGCACAATGAATTTATCCACTTGGTGAACAAACACGTCAAGGAAGATGATAGGTATGTTGCTATTCCAGCTAGGTACTTTTTGGGCTCTGTTGTATTACCTGCTACCACACAATCAGCTTTCCTTGCTTCGTAAAGGCTTTTCGCTCTAAATGGAGATTGTTTTCACTTCTGCAGGTACTTGATCAGTCCGTCAGAAGTGGCTGACCTGCACTTGATCAGTTACGAGGTTGAGAGAGACCTGATTCCTCTGATCTTGTCCAACTGCCAGTACAGCATGGAGAAGGGAGGGGAGACATTGCAGGACTTTGATCTGGAGAGGATCCAGCAGCAAGTCATCAGCAAGTTCCTGCAGGGAAAACCACTCATCACCCTAACGGTAGGAGAAGGCAGCTAGCTATGTTTTCTGCAGACAGCTTCTTGGCTGATGAGCCCTGCAGTGTTTGCTGCAGCCAGGCATGCACTGTAGCAGGGTTAGCAATGTTACCAAAGCTTTACAACCGTGGGTTTCTCTCCTGACAGGGAATACCTACCCTCGTGTACAGACATGATCGGAATTATGAGCAGCTGTTTAATGATGTCAGGAATAAGCTGGATCAGGTGGGTTTCTGCATTGGAGGAAACAGGGCAAAGCACGTGACCCCTGACATCCCAAGAAATGTCAGGCTTGTCTTCCGTCACTTGCCTTGTTCATCTGCTCTGAAGGCTTGTCTGCTAATCTCTCGGCATGCCTTGAATATGTGCAAACTGGCCTTCTTTTGTCAGTCAGGATTTACAAAGGAAAGGGATATAGTTAAGTATTTTCAGTTTCCTAAACCTGGGGCTCTGCTGTCTTCCATGACTTTAGCAACTAGAGCAGCAATAAGGAATGGTTCTGAACTAATATGAGCAACTGCTTTGCCTTCGTGGTTTTCAGAGTGCTCTCCCCAGTTCTGTGATGAACATGATCAGTGGGGAACTACAGTCTTATAGTGATGTCTGTGATGCTCTGTCCATCATTGAAATTACCTTGGGATTCCTGGCCATGGCTGGAGAGAATGCTGAAATGCTTCTGACTGACTACATAGAAAAAGTTCTGCAGATGGGTGATCAGACAAACCCTCATGTACTGCAGGTGAGTCCTGAGAGCAAAGCTCTTATTCTTACAGGATAATATCTGCACTGGTTTATACTAAATCCAGGCAGCCTGATCTCCAAGCCCAGCAGAAGTTCAGCTTGAAAAGGTATATGATAGAATTCCCTCCCCACCGTATTCAACAGCGGGGGGGAAACAATTTTCACTTCCCCTGCAACCAGTGTTTGCAAGGTGGGAGCATCTAATAGCTTGTGATGCTCAGCAGGTTCTTGCAAAACCCTACAGAAAGGTCAGGTGCGGGACGTGCAGGAGGTTGAACTCTTCTCTGCAGATCCAAGCTCTTCTGTCAGCACCAGGAAGGAGAATTCTCAGTTGAGTGTCAGCATAATTAAGTTGTAATGCTAAAACTGAGAAAAGGGACAACTTTCAATTAAGAGTCAGCTTTCAGTGGCACTGGCTTGCCTGATGCTGAGCAGGATTGAAAATATCCCTTTATCTCTCCAAAGTGGTGATAGGGGAAGGCTTTATCTCCTCATGATGTGTGAAGAGAGGCCCTTTACTGACAGGGGCCAACGGCACTATGTTATGACAAGTGTGACATAGCCCTATCACTTTCCCACTCCCTTTCATGATACCAAAAAGATGGATTATTGGAGGTAAAATGGGGACGAGGGAGAGAGAAGCCTATTGCAGATGGGCTTCTACACCCAGGTTGAAAGGGCTTGGTGAACTCCCTGCAGTTGTGCTCCTCTGCAGTTTTGACCTGCATGGGCAGGGCAGGGTGTGGACAGGTTCCTAAATACATCCCTTACATCCAGGTTCACTCCATATATGTGTTTTTCTTTCAGGCCTTTAGACGATGCTACCTAAAGCACAACATAGCCCTATGGCAACTTCTCTCTACCCGCAAATCTGAGCAGCTTCTGCGCCTCAAAAGGGTAAGGTACACTCATAACTTCAGCATCTAATCAACTGTTTCCTCTTTTCTAAATGAAGTTGCTCAAATATGTATGGTTGGTTGGTTTTTTTTTTTCCCCCCTCACTGTATTTTTAGGATCCTTTTGTAGACATCAGTACAGTCTACAAAGCTGAGCTCAGTCCAAAGATTGCCAAGCTCCTCAACACATTCCTTGTCCACTCGAGGCTGGAAACCTTCCTGCAGGAGCTCCATGAAATGATCGTCCTGAAGCTGAGACGTGTCCAAGCTGTGGATGAATTCAGACCCACGTGGAGGTAACAGATTTATGCAGCCCAAACCAACCCACAGTTGTTGTTACTAACTTAAGCTTCTCTGCCTCTGAAAATGCACGTGATGGCAACAGTTCCCTTGGCAAATGACTGCACTGCTGGACACAAAGCACAACCATCAACATCAAGAATATGCAGCTAGTTCTAAGACACACTGCCTGTGTCTAGCATGTATGACTCTTCTTCATCTTACACAAGCTATTTTGGGAACACTGCTGGAATATACCAGGAGCATGAGCACTAAAGATAAACACAAGCACTTCTGCAGTCATTCAGATGAGCACACTCAGCTTTCCACACGCACAGCTTGGCCCTAACAGCTTGGTTCTGACCTGCAGCCTCCCTTTTCTGGGTTCTTTAGCCTCTCTATAAATCTGACTGGCTGTTTAATCCTCCTCCTTACAAAATACACGTGTTAAAACTCTGTGTACTTAACATTGGTGCATTCCTACCACACAATACTATGCGGCATTTGTAGTTTGCTGTATACCATCTATTAATACTACCTTTGCTCTTTGTTTTCCAGCCTGAAGGAATCGCTCATTCCTTACCTTGATGCAAAAGACTCCGAGTTAGCTACAGAGCTGGAAGAGATGTTCCCAGATGAGATTCTTCTCTCTCATGCTACTGCTACGTGGAAAGCAGCCGCTCTCTTCAAAAGGGAGTGTAGGGAAAGCTAGGAGCACTAGCACCACTAGCACCACTAGGTCTGTCCGACCTTCCTCATACACAGGGAACACACACATGGTGTCAGTGAGATTCTGGAAGCTCAGGGGGTTGGTTTTTTGAGTTTGTGTTTTGAGTTTTGAGGTGTTTTGGTTTTGTTTTCTTTTTACTAACTGTGACGCAAAGATTAGGTGCTTTCATGCCTCAGAAGGATGGTGGAGAAACAGAAGGCTGCATGTATAAACAGAGACTTTTGAAGGCATCATAAAAGAAAACAAACATAAAAACCCCCAACCAAAAAACCCACAGCCACCTGATACAGATGAACGATTTTTTTTAAAAAGCATCATTTCCTAGTGCTTGCTTTTTTTCCCCCCAATCTTCATTTCTCTTGCCGCGGAGCCTTTTCAGCACCACTGAAGAATTGGGACCAAGTTGGAAAAAACAAAAAACGCCGAAGGAAGCTGCTCCTTCACTGCCTTAACCTCTTGCCGCAGGCCGCGGCAGCGCCCTCGGCTGCCCCCGCGCCGCTGTCGCC